CGATGAATCCTAAGATTCCGGGGATGTACGGGAGGGAGAGGTGGAAGTCGTTTCCTTCTCCGATTGGAAGTAGTTTTGCAGCTGTTAAACGTCCGGTGTACGGAAGTGTAGCGGAACAAATTTGTCCATACAGTTAATTGGCAAGCTTGGAGACGTTGAGGGATTCGAACGTGGCTACAAGTGGGCCGGAAATCGTCAGAGTTTCTGGGGGATAATTGGTCAAAAATTTGACTGAAAATCTTTTATGTCTAGGAAGGATCGTTCCTGCTTTGAGCTCTGCTTGTAAGACTTGAACGTAGGAAAGGATTCCAAAATAAAGTCGGGAGACGAGGGGATGCCAGGCGTCTTCTTGTCTCTTAAAATAGAAACTCTTTCTCATTAGATCATCCATGTAGTGGATTATCAGATACATGTTGAAAGCACATGGGGTGTAGGTGCTGGTAACAGGCTCAGATTCCCTAGTTAATGGGTATCGGAGATATTGTGTCAGAATTAGCATAAGCGATGGGGTAGTAGATCCGGAAGTGGGCTTTGAATGAGTCGTCTCCTTAACGGTCTTTTCAGGCTTGGTGTGCTGTAAACGAGGTTCACTCGTTTCTGAGTCGAGGTCTCTTACTTTGTTAATCTGTTCTTCAATTTCTGAAGTTTTGGTTGAGTGGTCAGACATAGTGAAACAAGGTTAGGGTCAGCTAATAATGTGAGTTAAAGCTTTATAATTTCATGAAACCAGTGTAGGCATGTGTAGTTTGCAGTTGGGGAAATGTGACGAGTCCAAAGAGCAAATGGTCGCCCACTTTCTCTGGAATTTCGAAAGAGTTTCCTCAAATCCAGCAAAGACTCGTTTTTATACACATTCGATTGATAGGCGATTCGAATCCTGCCGCAAAAAAGATCTGGGTACAAACATGGGAATTATGAAAGTGACGCGTAGGCAACGGACCATGTTCAATGCGGTAGCAATGGTTGCCTAAGCAAAAGGAAGAAACATTGTTTTATTCTATTGATTGGCCCTGCCAAGTATACCGTGGGCGTACAATTAGGAAGATAGGCAGTAACAATTTTAAATTGTGAAATGCGGGATATTTACATTTTACATACGCACAATGACGAGTGACGTTTCACACATTTCATAAACAGTCATTCAAAATTGAAATTGTCAGAATCTCTGTTAGAGTGCATGATCATGAATCATGAAGCGCTACAAAATGGTCGTGCTATATGACAAAATTCTTAACTCACAAAATGTATTTCACAAAAATATGTTGAAGTACTCCTGTAAACTGGGTCTATGAAGAAAGACGACGATGTGGAGAACGAAAACGTTTGGTTTTCGTGGCTGCTTTCTATCAGCTATCAAAGTGAAAAGCACTGGCGTATCTAGTGCTGGAGGGCATAGAAAGGACATTTTGAATTATTTCATTGAAAATAAATGCCCGTGAATTATTTGAAAATTTAGTCCTCTAGACTAAAAATACAAATACAAATCTGAAAAACCAAACCAAAATAATCCTCTAGACTAAACAAACCTACACAACTCTGAAAAACCAAATAAAATATAGAACACTATTAGACATATAATAATAATAATAATAATAATAATAATAATAATAATAATAATAATAATAATAATAAATGTCTTTATTCATCACAATCAACTGAGCATACATTGAATTATAAGAAGAAGATTTATGATGAAATGGTGAAGTGTCAGCTTAAGCTGTTTTTAAACTTTACCAGAAGAAAAATAAAAGAAAGTAAAATAAGAAGAGAGAAAAAAAAAAAAAAAAAACCAACTTGATTAATATAAATACATGTGAATATCTACTACATCGTGGTGATTATTGTAAAAATCAGTAAGCCGAGAAAGGTGGAACATATCAGTATTAATCAGTTATCCGTGCAGTTTTTGAATAAAGCTCTTTCAGTTTTTTTTTGAAGTTGAATAATGTATAATGACGGAAATTTGAATCCAGATTATTATACAACTTACAAGCACGATAGGAGAAGCTGCGGGTGAAATATGCCGTGGAATGCTTAGGTACGATGAGTAGGTCTCTTTTTCTGGTGTTCACCCTATTACTTTCTGATAGCACTAATTTTTGGTTCAAATATATAGGGGTTCCTGTTTTCAGAACCTTGTGTATGAAGCAGAGAGAATGTAAGTCACGTGTCCTATCTAATTGCAACCAACCGATTTCGTGAGTGTGACTGCTAACCCTGTCAAACTTGCGCAATCCTGTGCAAAAACGAACACAAGAATTTTGTATCATTTGAAGTTTGTTCGCGTCAGAGGCAAGTAAAGCAGGGCCATAAACAGAATCGCAATACGCAATCTTGGAAAAAATTAGAGTTTCGCAAAGTTTTATTTTGGTCGATTTAGGTAGAATGTCGCGCTGAGAAAATAATTTCTTGAGAGTACCGTAGGAACTTTTACATAACGAGCGAACATGTTTACTGAACCTCAAATCAGAGTCAAACCACAGCCCAAGATTTTTGCATTCATTCAAAGTCGGTAGCATCTCATTATTCATGCAGATGTTCATCATTTGTGAGGCTGCTAATCTCCTACTCTTGGGGCCGAAAAAGGTGACAGAAGATTTATTGACATTCAAGTTCAAGTTATGCGCAACAGAGATATCGAAAAGTGAATTTAAGTCGGTGTTAATTTTGTGACATGCATCAGCATACTCATCGAAAACAAAATTATAAATGAGCTGTGTGTCGTCGGCATAGTGATATATTTTACAATGACTAGAGAATTTGTGAAAATTAGAAATATATACTGAAAAAAGCAGTGGCCCTAAAATAGAACCTTGAGGTACTCCATATCTAACAGGTGAGGGGTCCGACTTACGATCATCTAAAATAACACATTGTCTGCGATCACTCAAGTAGCTTTTTAGTAGACTCATAGATTCATCTGAAAAGCCGAAGTATGACATTTTTTTGCAGAGCAAGTGGTGATCAACGCAGTCGAAGGCCTTACTATAGTCCAATAAAATGAGACAGCATACATTACCACCATCGATTGATCTAAATAAGTCATCAGCAACATTGAGTAATGCGCTAGTAGTGCTATAATGGGGACGAAATCCTGACTGAATATCAGGTATAACTTTCTTTGAAAAAACAAACTCGGAAATTTGGCTTTTCATAATTAACTCCAAAGCTTTTGATAAAGTAGGAAGTATGCTAATGGGGCGCAAGTGATTTAATTCGGTTGGCGATGCTATTTTAGGTAGTGGAATTATGTGTGCCATTTTCCAAGCATCTGGAAAAGTATTAGTTGTCAGAGCGGTATTAATTATGTTTGTAAAGTGGTGAAGTATACAGTCGAACACAATGTGAAGCATATTGAGTGATAAGCAGTCCGATCCAACCGAATTACTCTTGATTTTCTTGAACACCTGATTTACCTCTATAGAACTGACGGTGCGAAAATCGAAGGTTTGATCCTGTAAATAAGGAGCATCATATTTGTCGAGTAAGTAGATCTGATCTGGAGTGGGGTTAGTTGAGGGGACATCATTGAAGAAATTATTGATCAGTGTGACGTCTTTGAGATTGTCAGGAATATCTGAGTTTTTATTATTCTGAATTACGTCTAGAGCCCTTAGCGTATTCCACAAAGTTTTAGTGTTCTTATTACGTAGTATATATTGCATGTATGCGTGTTTTTCTCTTCTAATAGCACTGGTAACATAATTGCGTAATTGTTTATAATATTGCCAACTCTGATTTGTCTTTGAAATTTTAAATAGCTTGAATGCTTTATCTCTGAGTCTACTCATAAGTTTTATGGTGTCGGTATACCATGGACTAAAAGGTTTAGTGACTTTTATTTTGCGAAGTGGAGCATGTTTTTCGAAAACATTGAGAAGATACGTGTTCATGAGTTCAACTTGTACATTGACATCATTGGTATTGTAAATGAGATCCCACTGGTGTGCTTTGATATCATTGAGAAAAAGATCCTGGTCGGAGTATTTGAAGTTACGAGTGTAAACAAACTTTTGTTCATGTATAGATTTGATTTTTAATATTTCACAGGATGTGGAAAAATGATCTGAGATACCGGGTAAGTCAATCACTGAACAACTTGAGATTTCATCAGGGTTTGATGAGACCATAATGTCAATCAAGGTTTGAGAGTTGCCAGTCACGCGTGTAGGCTCATTGATAAGCTGTTTCAAGTTATATGTATCTAAAAACTGTAAAAATAACTTACTGGACTGACTGTTGACCAGCAAATTGATATTGAGATCGGCTGCCATGAGAAGAGTATTGCAAGTAGACAAGACACGTGACATAGTGTTATCAAGTTCAGAAAGTGTTACTGGAATGCTTGACTTGGGCGGGCGATACAGTACTCCAACAGCATATGTTTTACCCAAAATTTTTATACTCACCCATAGTTGCTCCAAGTTATCAGTGATATCACTAACGAGAACACTATAATGTAGATTACTTTTTATAAAAAGACCTAGACCACCCCCTCGACCGTTTCTGTCAATCCTTTCAAATCTATAGCCTGGAATATGTGTCATGTTAGAATTCACATTTGGAGTGAGCCATGTTTCAGAAACAGCAAAGATTTCGAAAGAATCAGTCAAGACATGGTTTTTCAATATATCAAATCCTCCTAAAATGGAACGAACGTTCATATGTCCATAGCAAAAGGCCCTATTATGAGTCATTATAATACTGAGTGAATGAGAATAATGGATAGATTATGATGAGAAATATAATAACAAGTTCTGGCTGGCTAAATGTATAAATAAATGGAAGAAACAATACAATTCAAATTATTCAACGTGAAAACAAAATGATGTTCACTTTATTCAAAGTCTAATCTAGGTTATCAGCTGTTCAATTTATTTCAGATTTATATTTACCTGAGATGAAGAGTGTGGACTCGAGAAATCTCTAACAATAAAAACTCAATATGATTGACCGTAGAGAAAAAAAAATATATAGGTACACATGATAAAAAAAAAACATTAGTCCACCTTCTTTGTTTCTTTACTGACGCTTCTTGTAAATCTTTTGGGCCGTCCTTCTTGGGGGCTCAGTGCGTTTTTCCTTTTAGACGATGAATCAGACGAGTTTCCAAGGGTTTCTATATGGTCCAAATCTATGTTTTCTTTCACGAAATCTTCGTACTTGTACGGAACACCGTTGATAACAAGTTTGTTTCTGAATAGGGTGGCCTCACACTTATTTTCTTTTGCTTCTTTATAGTGCTTGTACAAAACTTTTTTCTCATCCCTTTCTTTCGGTGTTAGGTCGTGACTTATTGATATTTCAGTCCCTTTGAGTTTCCTACAATTTTTAAGAATTTCTTGTTTCTTGAGATTACGTACCAGCTCCAAGATTATTGGCCTTTTCCCATTTGTATTTTGTTTTCCAATTCTTAACGAGTTATTTATATCATCCTCCTCCAGTTTTATACTGAGTTTGCTTTCTAAGGTTGCTTTCACAACACTCCACGTTTCGCTTTCTTCTACCTCTTCTATTCCAAAAATGACTAAATTGTTTTTTTTTTTGTTTCTTTTGACTATTTCTATTTCAGCATTCAGGTCATTATTTTGAGTTTCTAAAAATTTAACTTTTTCCTCTAGTTCCTGGATATTTGTGGAAACTTTCTGTAGGTCGTTTTTAATGATCAGAATATCCTCCTTTATCTCTTTATTTTGTAGATAGATCGATCTTATTAATGATTTTGTCTCTTCATCCATGCCGTATTGATGTGAGCAGAAACAGACCCAAAATTCGCAGTCTGGCAACTGTGTTCCTCTCTTCTAAGCTCTGACACTGGCGATTCCTTGGGTCCAAAGGTCAAACTCTCAGTTTCCTTTGTGTTATTGTCTTGATAGGGATTTTAGTACATGGAATTATTGTTGTATTTTACTCACAGTCATATGTGTACGTTCAGTTTTCCATGAATAGAGATTACACTATTTATTTACGTAGATTTCTCTGGAAATATTTGTTTATTTGGGAGCTGATTTATAACAGTAGCAGACAGTGTTGTCACCAATTAAAAATATGGCTAGAGAGCCTTTAAATTAATGTCGATTTTCTATCCTGCTGTGAATATACTTCCAGAACGCAATCTGCTGTAACATATTTTTTCATCAAATCTTTCTCGATGTGAATAACTGAAACATCGGAAAATTGATTCGGAATCATTGTAGTTCTGGTTCAATTTTTCATTCAACGCATTGCCGAAAAGCTACGTTCATAACCAGCCGAACTTATAGTAAGGGATACTGTCTGTAGGTTAATCGAGGAGGTGGTACATTCATTTCACTTGAATCTCTGGGATTTTCCCTCCTCGTTTCTATAAAATGAAAGTTTTCGTATTATTTCTAGAGTCTAGAAGGAAAATCCACTAGCTTGTTTGGAAAAATGTTTGAAGGAAAGAAAATCCCAAAGATTCAAGTAAAATGAATCATAGTGAGGGAGCTAGATATTTGAATTAATTCGTAGAGGTTTGGGCAAGAGTATTTTCTAATATGATTGTTGATAGATTCTAGATCTATTTCCAAATCTTTCTGAGTTTGCATATTTTTAACCACTGATACTTCGGCGTCAGGTATAGGAACATCTAACAAGCGTCTAGCTAGACCAGCGAATCTTCAAACATCTAGGTCAAGTGACGTTACCCACAACACATGATATTTCTTCATTCTTCATATTGAGAAACTAGGACTTCTACGAGTGAAGCGATAGCTTAGTGGTCTCTATATCTGTCTTTCAATGTAGTGACTGGGGTTCAATCCCTGCAAGGCGTAAATTTTTTTTGTAATTTTTTTCACTCGATTGATTTTTGCAAAATATATTTTTTAGGGACAAGGTTGATTTAGTACTTTCCTTTTTCATGCAGAAGAGATATTTTCCTCCCTCATTTTACCTTATAAGTCTTATGAACACGACTAACCTTCTGATAACCTTGAGGTTTGGAAGATTCACTGGTCTAGCTAAACGCTTGTGAACATTGTAACATCAAAAATTTGCCCTTTCGTGTTCCATACTGTCATTCTACAAATGAGTAATGAGGAAGATTTGTGCACTGTGTAACTCAATGATATCGCTGCAAATCGCCCAAGTAGAAAATAAGCATTCCACGCGAGTCATACATCATTAATCCTCAATGACTACAGCTTTGCATGTAGCTATCTGATTTTCTCTCGAACACATCATTGCTTGCTCCAGAACACTGAAGATGGCGAAATGAAGTCATTGAGATATCAGATAAGAACATCGCGAGAGTAATTTTGTGTATCCCTACTTCATCAAGGCACATTTTTCAGCGTTGCGTTTCTATACAGGGCGTATAGAAACGCAACAGCTTCCTATGGAAATTGGATGTTCCACTCAAACATGGAACTTTCTGTACATTACATTTTTCTCATAGAGCGCTCCATCTGAAAACATTTTGCGACGTGGTGGTGGTGGTAATGGTGGTGATGGTGGTGACATAGGTACTGCTCGGAATCTATTGAATGAAATCAACCAAGTACACCCGAATATCAACTTTCCTATAGAAATAGAATCAAACAGTAAATCAAATTTTTCAGATATTACACTCCACAAAAACACTGACAATAATCTTCACTTCAGCATTTACAGAAAATCCACACAAACTAACCATGTCATTCCCAACTTTTCTTACCATCCACACCAACATAAAATGGCCGCATGCAACTGTTACATACATAGACTTCTGAACATGCCTCTTTCTCAAGTCGAATATCAAGCCGAAATGAACATTTTAAAACAAATAGCTTACAATAACAACTACAACCCAAACATCATCAATTCTCTTATTCAAAGAATAAAGAACAGGAAACAACTTAAATCAGCATTTCCCAAGGCGAACTCTTCAGACAGATTCATTTCATTCCTATTATTAACAATCATATTTCGAACAAAATATCGGGCTACACTAAAAACAAAATTGAAAATATCAAAATGTCTTACAAATCCAACAATAATTTGAGTCAACACTTAGTAAATAGCGAGGTAAATAGCAAAGATAAGATTGATTAACTTTCAAAAAGTGGTATCTACAAATTGAATTGTGAAGATTGTGAAGCTGTCTATATTGGTAGAACATGTCGACCTCTCAAAGCTCGCATAGGTGAACATTTAAATATTAAGAAAAAATCTGCATTTGGACAACACTTGAGATTCAACTACCACAATTTCAGCCCCAATGAAAATTCAAAAATTTTACATGAAACCAACTTCAAAAATTTCAATAGATTAGATTTTCTTGAAGAATCACATATTGACAAATAATTACAAATCAACTATTGTTTGAATACCCAGGTTAATTTGAACAGATCATATATTCCACTTCATAGAAGGTTAAAATAGCCTAATAATCAATTCACTCATAATAATTTTCCACAGATTCATCAAAAACTCCTTTTTTCTCTATGATGATTTAATTTGATATCCAAATCAGCAATTTGTGCACTATCTTTCCAAGCAGTTTTCCACAACACTGAGAGCACCAATGGTTTCTTTCTTGTCTCTTCATATTCCAGAGTTGGAGTAGTTTCTTGATGTTCCAATTTCATGGGTTGTGCAAGTTCTCATTAGACTTTTCACTTCCTTTGCAGTTGGAGGCCCGAGTTTTCACAAAGATTCCTGTGAATAAGTTGTCACAAACCGGATTCTCAAACCTTTTTTTTGTTGATAGGTTGTCAGGCAGTTGAATTTGTTCAACTTTTGATTACATCTGGAATAACTTATGTGAGCTCTCATTAGGCTCAACTGGGTTTCCCTGGTGTATTCACTTGTTGAATTGTTGCATTTTGATAAACCAGACTATTGAGAGACATGTTATATGTAGGTTCTCAATAGACCAACATAACATTCGCTCCTTAGGGACTTGGTTATTTCTCCCCGATTTCATAATGTTTCTCCTCACTAATATTTTATAATAAACATTCTTGACTTTCCTTTGACACATGTCATGTCTTGGATGTCATGTCATGCATGTCAACTTGAAATTTGCCTCCATTATTTCAGTAAGTTCAATGACAATTGAATCAAGGTCCGTCACTCATCAAGTTCACATCAACACGACATGTCGCAGCGACAATGGCTGCTTAACAAGATGTAATCCATATTTGACCCCCTTTTGGGAAACACATTTCAATTTGTTTGTAACGTATTTTACTTAAATGTCGTTATTTTTGAACAGGACAGAAGATATTTTTATGGACGAATTTCCCTGTTAATTTTATTATAATGTCTTTTTCAAATCAAAAGTTCATCAAAAAAGTAGCAAGTCACCAATATTAAACAGATTTCCAGAAAGATTTCTTCAAAAAAATTTTTCAAAAATAATTCTTAAAAAAATTTTTCGGAAAATTTTCTGTTATATTATGGTCATAATTCAATAAACACAGAGCATAGGCTCTGATCTAAGCACATTTCACTAAGCAGTAGCGCATCTAGTTGCTAGATGCTAACATTTCCAATAGCTAGAAGCAGATTATTTACTTACAGATACGCACTGATGATGACTTAACAGTCGAAAGCGCTCTGCTACGAATATTTTGAATAAATTTCTTGCACGAAATACAAATCTTTCCTTCATTGGTATATATTCACGTGCACACAGCCCAGCAACTCTCACTCATTTTGCGACGTAATATGAGATGAGAATGGCCATTTTTATGAACTATCCCGAGTGTTTCATTTTTCGAAGTGTATGTTGATTTATTTTCGATATGTAGCCTGAAATATATGATTTTTTCACAGTTTCTGGTTTTGAGAAGTTTTTTTTTTTTCATCATACTAGAATAAATTCATTTATTGTCCCCTTCTTTTCATCATTCTGTATATTTAATTTTGCGCGTATGATACATTGGAAATCTATATGTTCGTATCTCGCATAGTTGAACTATTTCTTTGTAATTTCGAGACACTCTAATCACTCAGTGATGAGCAATAATATGGTCAGGAAAACTCACGCTCAACATTTATTTTATATAAAATGTCCCTGTATTCTTCGTTTCATTATGACACTATCTAACCCTAGTTTCTTCTTCAAGTTTTATGAATAGGTGGATGAAAGGTGTGAATATCATACTTGATCATGACTCACGAGAATTATTATGCTGATTTTGAATAGCAGATTCGAATACCGTAGATATTTTGATGCTATTTTTAGTAATTCTCAGTGATTTTCAATGTGCTAATTCAGGAAATGTTCATTATTCTTATACCAGAAAAATAGAATATTTCACCGTTGAGTTCCAATTAACAGTGCTGCTCCAAAAGTAGTGCGTGGAGATAGTACCTACACAGAACTCATAGATGATGAGTAGTTGTGACAATTAGAGAAGGAGTTGTTCCGAAATAGAGAATGTCCTCTTCAGTATTATAGTTCGCAGCTGTATAGCCCCCATAGCCTAACCCAACTTTTTTCACATACCTTCGATTTTAGAAGATGCTGGTGAAATATCGAACATTATTTCGGAACACTTAGTATACAATATATGTAATTATAATACTGCTAATGGTAACAATATCCGAATACAAGATGTTTCTGCGATAAAATATGGGCCCAAAATACCCCAGGTGATATAATTGAATGGGCAATTCAATAAAATTTGAAAATTGAAATGTGTCTCTTTACCCCTTCGTGGCTAATTTCACTCACCTGTGAATGAACCTGCAAAAGACCCTCACGAGAATGGTGTGAAAGTCCAAAGAAAATAGTATAGCAAGTAATGTAACTAGAATACCATGAACAAATCAATGATTCACAATATTATTATACGAATTTACCAATAATGTTCTCACAGTTTCACTATTCAATTCACTAGATGTTGAAACATAATCAAATTGCTGTTTTTATACCATCCTTGGATGATTAATCAACGATATTTCAAAAAAATATCTACACATGTCCATAAGATATTCAAATGTCAGCATTATTATTCAATGAAGGTATTACTGAAAAAATGATTGATGATTGCAAACATATCGTGAGCAAAACACGATAACACTTTTAACTGACCTCCAGGTCAGCTGATTGCATAGGGTAATTCAATATGACTAATTATAAAATATTGAAATAACCGTATTCATCAATGGATAATAAAAATCCGGTTATTTAACTAAGTAGCGTTCATTACTTTCTAGCACCCTTAACCTATACGCGGGATAATCTACCTGCCAGGTACCGAATTGGTTATGCTCTTGTTGAGCATCGGGAGTATTAACAACGGTGTACGTAGCCGCTGCCTATCAAATGTCATAAGTCATCTGTCGGTTGTCGATTGTTCAGCGAGCATCAGATGGTTACGTGGTATACATCGTATGTCATATATCAAATGTATTACGTTAGCTGTCATTTGCTAACTGTCGTTCTCCAGATGTTATAGCAGTCTCTGAGCTAGACAAAAAGTGGGGTGGCCTACCCGCGAGTCGCCCACTTGAAGTGTGGTGGTCTACTCATGAGTTGCCCTATATATTGACTGACTAGCCGTCAAAGCCACTAAACCTTCAAAAATGCTTATAACTATGGTGTGGCCTGACTAAAATACTGAGTGAAGTTCATACCCAAATCAAGTCCATGCAGGATGAATTTTCAGCAGAGTTAACCTTTCTGATTTTAGAAAAAATTACCGAGAATTTGCCTGGTGTATCATTCGACATATCTCAATTACATATACCCACTAATATAGCTTTAGCTGATTCAGAATTTAATGAATCAAGATCAATAGACATGTTACTTGGAGCAGAAGTGTTTTATAATCTTATTCTAACAGAGCGAATAAATCTAAGATAATTTACCTGTGTTACAGCGCACATTATTGGGTTGGATTTTCACTGGACCTATGTCGAATTATCATTATAAACAACCTTCGAGTAATGATTTGACATGTTTATCAGTTGATATCAGTTTGAAAAATCAGATCGAGAAGTTTTGAAAAATCGAAGAATGTACAGCAAGCAACTATAATAAATATTCACTCGAAGAGAAACAGTGTGAGGATAATTTCTTGGAAACACTAGATCGTGACAAGACCGGTCATTTATTGGTAACTTTACCTTTTCGTGATCATATTGGTCCATTAGGGAATTCTTTAGGTAATGATATTAGTAGAATGCATTCCATGGAAATAAAATTTACCAAAAATCCTGAATTCAAGCGCATGTATATTGATTTCATGTCTGAATATGAATCATTAGGTCATATGACACAAATCGAGAAAAGGGATCTAATTAACTCAGAATCTAATGAAAAGTTTTATTTACCACACCACGGCGTTTTAAATGAGGGTAGCAGTACTACAAGGTTGCGGGTCGTGTTTGATGGTTCCTGTAAATCAGACAACGGTATTTCTCTTAACGATATGTTGAAGGTTGGTCCTACCATTCAGGAAGAGTCATTTTCAATTTTATTAAGATTTCGGAAACATAATATAGCGATGACTGCAGACGTGGCCAAGATGTATCGCATGATTAATATCGTTGAAAATCAGCGCGATTTACAGCGTATCGTATGGCGCAGCGATCCAAGTCAACAAATTCGTCACTATAGATTGAACACCGTAACATATGGAACATCATCAGCCTCGTATTTAGCTATTAGAAGCTCACAGCAAACTGCTATAGAACATCGTGATATCTATCCGACAGCAAGTGAAGTAATCCTTAACGATTTTTACGTTGATGATTCGATTAGTGGTGCTTCCACCATCGAAGATGCTCATTTCTCAAAACAGGATGTTGTTAATATATTGGAGAAATATGGTTTTTAATTAAGAAAATGGGTATCAAATGATGTGCGATTACTAGAAAAACCTGATTTTGATAAAAATGATCAATATTATATAGCCGACGATGAATTAAAGAAAACGCTAGGTTTATGGTGGCAAGCCAAATTAGATATTTTTAAATATAATGTTAGTTCAGTTGATTGGTTCTTCGAAAAAATAACAAAACGAACAATTTTATCAGCGATTGCGAAAATATTCGATCCACTCGGATTGATAGCACTGGTTACAATCAAGGCCAAGATTATACTGCAGTACTTATGGCAGCTTAGCTCATCATGGGACGAACAACCCCCTGATAATGTATTACAGTCATGGTCTAAAGTTCGTGACCAATTAACTTCATTGAATGATATAGAAATACAAAGACACGTCACATGCGTTAATCCAAAATATATCGAACTGCATGGATTTTGTGACGCATCAGAATCAGCTTATGGTTCTTGCATATATATTAACTCAAGCAGCGCTGACAATTAATTTACCATAAGATTACTGTGCGCTAAATCGCGGAAAGCCCCCTTAACAATTATTTCCATACCAAGGCTAGAACTTTGCGGAGCCGTCCTACTTACGCATTTATGTACTAAGGTGCGAGCAGCAATGGAATTTAATATCGATAAGGTTTATTTTTGGACAGATAGTCCCATTATTGCCCCACCATTGTATACATGGCAAATCAAAGTGAAATAGAGAGACTACAGAAATTGCAAAACAGAGTCATGAGAGTTATATTGCGATGTGATTATAGAACTTCCGCTCAATCTATGTTATGTACCCTGAACTGGTTGGATGTTAAATCATTCATAAAGTACAATGTTATGGTATTTATCCACAAGATCAACATAGACACATGTCCTCAATATCTGAAAAATATATTAGTAAAATTCAGAACTGTTCATGATTATGATACTAGAGGAAAAGAAAATTTTGTTGTAAAACAGGCAAAGAAAACACAGACGCAGCGTTCAGTATTCTATAAAGGTGTTGTGGAATATAACAAATTAGGAATCGAATTGAAAAAGAGACCACTAAATATATTTAAGAAAAATGTCAAAGATTCCATCCGAAGTGAACATAGGAATGTACTGTAATATAAAATTATTGTGTAGTTTATATATATTGTGTTGGAATGTATAGCAAAAGGCTAAATAAACTACTACTACGACTAGATAGTACTATCGTATTATCCTGGATAGCCTCTCCACCCAAATCCTTAAAAATATTTATGGGCAATCGTGTTGCGGACATTCAGAGTCGAACTGAAATTAGTCAGTGGGCCCATGTCTCCTCAGAAGACAACCCAGCTGACATTGTATCGCGTGGAATTGATCCTGAAAAATTTCAACATATTTCTAAATGGTGGTCAGGTCCGGACTGGTTATCTCGCGATATGGAATTTTGGCAAAAAACTGAAATAGTAATCAAAGATGTTCCGGACAGACGGAAACCTAAATTAGCATTGAATGTAATTGCACAAGATTTTGACATTTGCAACAGATTTTCTTTATTATATCGCCTAAAACGAGTAGTAGCGCTTTGCATTCGATTTTTCAAAAATTGCTTTCTTATACGAAAAGAGCGAAAAAGCGGCGAAATAACGAATCAGGAATTGAAGGATGCAATGACACGTATTCTCCGGATTGCTCAATTCGAAATGTTTTCCGAAGAAGTCAATGCATTTGAAAGGGGCAAAAATATATCGAAATCTTGTAAATTAATTTCATTAAATCCATTTTATGATAATGATCACTTAATTCGTTTGGGTGGCAGATTAAATCAATCAGATTTATCACTTGATAAAAAATGTCAAATTGTACTCGCGTCTAAGCACCCATTAACGAGACTCATTATCTTAGATGAACATCATCGACAGCTTCATTCGGGAGCCCAAGCAATTTTAGCAGTTTTACGACAATACAGAGCATTTACAGTATTTCACCTACCTGAAATATGACCAGGCGACAACACGAAGAATTTTGGTGTTGTACAAACCCAAAAGGTTCAAAAACCATCAATTATTGCGAAAATGTATGTATTTTTAGAGGGGAGAATTTTTCATTCAATCTTTGGGCTGTTGAGGTCTCATCAGCAAATACTTTGAGTTGACGATCGAGCCGAGGGCCTTAGAGGTATTCTCCTTAGGAGAGTATCTGTGATCTGGAAAGTGTTCCCAGTATGGTCCAGTTCGGGTTAGGTGAACGTCGCCTAAATGTGAGTAGGGGCCTAAGTCTTGGGGGTGTACCATGACGTTAGTCTTCGTACTCTGAGCAATCATCATTGACGCAGGAGCTATCTCTATCTCCGTTGTCTTGTGTATGTATTCGGGCTCGAACACTCCAACGGGATGGAAAGCGTGGGTCAACGTATGGATGGGGTTGCTAGCGTGGCGGGGGGTAGAACTTTTGGTAAGTTCATTAATTATCAAGGGAGCTGAGGTAGGCTGTAGAGAGCAGTCGGCTAATGTAGTATTTCCTACGAAATAGGTAGAATAGGTGTTCATGATTTGGTTGATATTTCCGAACCATTAGTCACTTTCTCCTCGGTAGAGAAATAAGTCGAACATTGTGATGTTATCCAGGGCATTGGATACAGGGATACCAAGTCGGGCGACGTATCTGTTAAATGATGCGTCGATGTCGTGATTGGTTTCTGGGGCGTAAAGCATGCCAGGTTGTAGCAATGTAGTTCGTTCAAGTTCATTCCAGCCGTTAGGTTGAAATACGTGTCCGTTGAGGAGGCGCGCAACCGTGTTGTCAAACGATCCAGGGACTGTGAAGTCGGGTATGGCGTTTGCTGGAGCTTGGACTATTTGGGCGATGAATCCTAAGATTCCGGGGATGTACGGAAGGGAGAGGTGGAAGTCGTTTCCTTCTCCGATTGGAAGTAGATTTACAGCTATAAAACGTCCGGTGTCCGGAAGTATAGCGGGACAAATTTGTCCATACAGTCTATTGGCGGGCTTGGAGACGTTGAGGGATTCGAACGTGACTACAAGTGGGCCAGGAATCGTCAGAGTTTCTGGGGGATAATTGGTCAAAAATTTGACTAAAAATCTTTTATGTCTAGGGAGGATCGTTCCTGCTCTGAGCTCTGCTCGTAAGACTTGAACGTAGAAGAGGATTCCAAAATGAAGTCGGGAGACGAGGAGATGCCAGGCGTCTTCTTGTCTTTTAAAATAGATACTCTTTCTCATTAGATCATCCATATAGTGGATTATCAGATACATGTCGAAAGCACATGGGGTGTAGGTGCTGTTAACAGGCTTAGATTTTCCAGTTAATGGGTTTTGGAGATATGGTGTCAGAATTAGCATAAGCGATAGATCCGGAAGTGGGCTTTGATTTATTCGTCTTCTCAACGGTCTTTTTAGGCTTAGTGTGCAGTAAACGAGGTTCACTCGTTTCTGAGTCGAAGTCTCTTACTTTGTTAATCTGTTCTTCAATATCTGAAGATTTGGTTGAGTGGTCGGACATAGTAAAACTATGGTCCCCTGATGTAAACTGACGTATTTGTCATCTCTACAGGGTACGGACAGATCCTCGTCTCCTCTCACTCTAAAGTGTTTGTGAAACAGTTATATAGTTCCATCTTTATTCATTTCTGGGGATAAACTCTAGATTTTTGGCATTTGTGGTTTTTTAGGTTATATTGAGGTCACTGGCGTATCATACGTAATTTTCATATGGAATTCCTGATTCAACTATACCAAAATATAGATGAACAATCCTCTAGTTATGAGGGCGCCGTATACATTATGCTATTTCTCGGCAAGCTCGAGGCAATGCAATTTTCTCGCAATTTTTCTCAATTTATTGCGAGTCGTCGTACATTGAGATATTTCATATTTTCTTGTTCATATTCACTATTTCCAGGTATTTTGAGCCTTCAATGTACTTTTTGAGGTTATTTGGCGTTTCAGGCCGCGTTATGGAGAAAATTAGTATTTTATCAAGATGCTACGATGAATATTACTGAAAATTTTACTAAACTTGCCTTGAAATTGCAGAAAAAATAGGACTGGTTCTATTACGAAACTATGAAACTTGCCGTGAAATATCATAGACGCATGCGCATTGATCGATTCAAAATTGCATTGCTTCGAACTTGCCGGCGCTCTTTAGAGTTTACTATACTCCAGCATAATTTTTGAGAGGTAGCTGAGGGAACATATGAATTTTACTGAAAGCTCAATATATTTCACCAAAAGAGACTGTTCTTAGGCTGTATACAAGGGTTGACTGAATTGACTGAATGAATTCTGATTTCAAACTGAGCAGTAGTTTATCTATGAGCTGAATAAGCTGAGCCTTATGATTGAGAAATGGTAAAAACCTCGATGTGAATATCTAAACTACTGTACTTATGTAATGTCTGCTAAATATATTTTCGGAAATACAACTCGAAGAATTTATGGAGTGACTAATATCAACTATGTATTAAACTTCGTCTAGGACGAAAAGTAGGCTGATAAAAAGTTATTCGTAAAATGTGCAGGGAAATGAAGAATAGAATATACTTCACCCCCATGTTATACATATGATTCTTCCGTCTTCCTCAAATAAAAAGTCATTTTCAAATAATTTATTGATGAAAGTAACAAACAAGTAGGTATACGCAGTATGACTTAAAGGCACGTTATTTTCACTCTTGCATCCTACATATTTTCTATTTGTGATAGAGTATAGTAATTATATAAACTAATGGATCCGTTATCTTGAATTTTTCAATTTTGACGGAACAATCATTATCTCTTACCCCGAAAACCGCAAGATATCAATTTGGAATAGAATCGGATCTTCATCACAAAACTTACGCCACATGATCTTCCTCAACAATTAAATACCCTGTACATACCTATTATTGAAATTTCGAATGATTTTCTGTAGCGCCCATGGATGTGACGTGACAGCAATGTCAGGGATGCCAGTAGACGAAACTAAAGTCTCTAGATCATTAAAAAAGAATACAGCTATGATCTGTCCGTACCCTGTTAAGATGACTTTAATGTCAATTTCCATCAAGGGACCCTAAGTGAAACTAGGTTAGGGTCAGCTAATAATGTAAGTTAAAGCTTATTACATTTATGAAACCAGTGTAGGCATGTGTAGTTTGCAGTTAGGGACATGTGACGAGTTCAAAGAGCAAATGGTCGCCCACTTTCTCTGGAATCTCGAAAGAGTTTCCTCAAATCGAGCAGACTAGTTTTTATACCTGACGCGTAGGCAACGGACCATGTTTAATGCGGTATTAATGGTTGCCTAAGCAAATGGAAGAAACATCGTTTCATTCTATTGATTGACTCTGTCAAGTATACCGTGGGCGTACAATTAGGAAGATAGGCAGTAACAATTTCAAATTGTGAAATGCGGGATATTTACATTTTACATACGGACAATGACGAGTGACGTTTCACACATTTCAAAAACAGTCATTTAAAATTGAAATTGTCAGAATCTCTGTCAGAGTGCATGATCATGAATCATGGTGCGCTACAAAATGGTCGTGCTACATGACAAAATTCAAAACTCACAAAATGTATTTCACAAAAATATGTTGGAAGTACTCCTGTAAACTGGGTCTATGAAGAAAGACGACGTTGTGGAGAACGAAAACAGAAAAGATTGTAGTTACAAAGTGCAAAAAGGAGGGAAATGTTTCAAAAAATTAGCAAAACTCTTTGCAAATCAGAGATTCAGTGTGGTTTCGTGGCTGGATTCTATCAGCTATCAAAGTGAGAAGCACTGGCGTATCTAGCCATCAGTGCTGGGGGGCCTAGAAAGGACATTTTGAATTATTTTATTGAAAATAAAGGCCCGTTAATTATTTGAAAATTTAGTCCTCTAGACTAAACAAATAAATATACAACTCTGAAAAACCAAATAACATATATGTAGAAAACTGTTCGACATATGGCAAGAGAGCCTTCAAATTAATGTCGATTATCTATCCTGCTGTGAATATACTCCCAGAATGCAATTTGGTGTAACATATTCCTCCACCAAATCCTTCTCGATGTGAATAACTGAAACATCAGAGAATTGATTCTGAATCATTGTAGTTCTGGTCCAATTTTTCATTCAACGCATTGCCGAAAAGCTACGTTCACAACCAGCCGAACTTTTAGTATGGGATACTGTCTGTATGTTAATCGAGGAGGTGGTACATTCATTTTACTTGATTCTTTGGGATTTTCTCTCCTCGTTTCTGTAAAATAAAAGTATTCGTATCATTTCAATATATTTGTAGAGGGACAAATCAGATGATTTGCCCCAAAATGTCCCTGCGTTTAACAAATTTTTCTATCAGGGAGTCTGAAAGAAATATCCAGTAGCTTGTCAGTGACAAATTGTTCGAAAAAATGTTTGAAGGAAAGAAATATAGATATATTGATATAGATAGAACATGGTATTCACTACTGAAAACTGAACATGAAAATGGTAGATTCAAGATCAATTAATGAAAACATCCTGTGACTCATTTGTAGACTAAAATCACTCATTCATATGCCAACATCAGTATGACACTAAAAAGTGTCAAACTATAAGCAGCACAACATTCAATGAAACATATTTCGCTTTACATGTTGGGAACGGGAGCAGAATCGGTCCCGAAACGTCGAAAGATAAGTAAAAATTCGATATTTTTCCAATATATCTATATTTCTTTCCTTCAAACATTTTTTCAAACAAATTGTCACTGAAAAGCTACTGGATTTTTCTTTTAGGCTCCCTGATAGTAAAAATTGTTGAACACAGTGACATTTTGGGGCAAATCATCTGATTTGTCCCTCTAAAAATATATTGAAAAAATGATACGAATTCTTCAATTTTATACAAACGAGGAGAGAAAATCTCTACGAATCAAGTAAAATGAATTATAGTAAGAGAGCTAGCAATTTGAAATAATTCGTAGAGGTTTGGGCAAAAGTCTTTTCTAATATGATTTTTGATAGATTCCAGATCTATTTCCAAATCTTCCAGAGTTTGCATATTTTCAACCACTGATACTTCGGCCTCAGGCATTGGAACATCTAACAAGCGTCTAGCTAGACCAGCGAGTTTTCAAACATCTAGGTCAAGTGACGTTACCCACAACACATGATATTTCCTCATTCTTCATATTGAGAAACTAGGACTTCTACGAGTGAAGCGATAGCTTAGTGGTCTGTATATCTGACTTTCAATGTAGTGACTGGGGTTCTATCCCTGCAAGGCGTAATTTTTTTTTGTTATTTTTTTCACTCGATTGATTTTAGTGAAATATATTTTTTAGGGACAAGGTTAATTTAGTACTTCCCTTTTTTATGCAGAAGAGATATTTTCCTTCCTCATTTCATTATAAGTCTTATGAACACGACTAACCTTCTGATAACCTTGAGGTTTGGAAGATTCGCTGGTCTAGCTAGACGCTTTTGAACATTGTAACATGAAATATTGCCCTTTCGTGTTCCATACTGTGAATTCTACAAATGGGTAATGAGTAATTCAATGAAATCGCTGCAAATCGCCCAAGTAGAAAATTAGCATACCACGCGAGTCATACATCATTAATTCTCAATGACTACAGCTTAGCATGTAGCCATCTGATTTTCTCTTGAACCCATCATTGCTTGCTCCAAAACACTGATTATGACGCAATGAAGTCATTGAGATATCAGATAAGAACATCGCGAGAGCAATTTTGTGTATCCCTACTCCATCAAGGCACATTTTTCAGCGGACACCCTGTGAAGAAACGCAACAGCTTTCAATGGAAATTGGATAACATATAGGATGTTCCACTCAAACATGGACCGTTCTGTACATTACATTTTTCTCATAGAGCATCTGAAAATATTTTGCGACGTGGTGGTGGTGGTGGTGACATAGGTACTGCTCAGAATCTATTGAATGAAATCAACCAAGTACACCCAAACATCAACTACTCTAGAAATAGAATCAAACAGTATATTGAATTTTTTAGATATTACACTCCACAAAAACATTGACAATAATCTTCAATTCAGCATTTACAGAGAACCCACACAAACTAACCATGGCATTCCCAACTTCTCTTACCATCCAAACCAACATAAAATGGCCACATTCAACTGTTACATACATAGACTCCTCTCTTCTCCAGTCGAATATCAAGCCGAAATGAACATTTTAAAACAAATAGCTTACAATAACAACTACAACCCAAACATCTCATTCAAAGAATAAAAAACAGGAAACAACTTAATTAAGCATTATCCAAGGTAGACTCTTCAGGCAGATTCATTTCACTCCCATTTATCAACAATCATATCACAAACAAAATATCTGGCTACATTATAAACAAAATTGAAAATGTCAAAATTTATTACAAATCCAAAAATAATTTTTTTTAAATTGTGTTTTTTGGTATATATATAAATAGCTTACAATAACAACTACAACCCAAACATCATCAATTCTCTCATTCAACGAATAAAAAACAGGAAACAACTTAATTCAGCATTATCCAAGGTAGACTCTTCAGACAGATTCATTTCACTCCCATTTATTAACAATCATATCTCAAACAAAATATCTGGCTACATTATAAACAAAATTGAAAATGTCAAAATTTATTACAATTTCAACAATAATTTGAGTCAACACTTAGTGAATAATAAAGATAAGATTGATAAACTTTCAAAAAGTGGTATCTACAAATTGAATTGTGAAGATTGTGAAGCTGTCCATATCGGTAGAACATGTAGACCTCTCAAATCACGCATAGGTGAACATTTTAATAGTGAGAAAAAAATCTGCATTTGGACAACACTTGAGATTCAACAACTACAATTTCAGCCCTAATAAAAATTCAAAAATTTTACATGAGACCAACTCCAAAAATTTCAATAGATTAGATTTTCTTGAAGACTCACCTATTGACAAAGAATTACAAAACAACTTTGACTATTGTTTGAATACCCAGGTTAATTTGAACATATCATATTATATTCCACTTCATAGAAGGTTGAAATAGCCTGATAATCAATTTACTCATAATATTTTTCCACAGATCTATCAAAAACTCCTTTTTTCTCTATGAGGATTTAATTAGATATCCAAATCAGCAATTTGTGCACTATCTCTCCAAGCAGATTTCCACAACACTGAGAACACCATTGGTTTCTTTCTTGACTTTTCATATTCCAGAGTTGGAGTGGTTTCTTGATGTTCCATTTTCATGGGTTGTGTAAGTTCTCATTAGACTTTTCACTTCCTTTGCAGTTGGAGGTCCGAGTTTTCACAAAAATTTCTGTAAATAACTTGTCACAAACCAGATTCTCAAACTTTTTTTGTGTTAATAGGTTGTCAGACAGTGTGAGCTCTCATTAGGCTCAACTGGGTTTCCCTAGTGTATTCACTTGTTGAATTGTGGCATTTTGATAAACCAGACTATTGAGTGACATGATATATGTAGGTTCTCAATAGACCAACAAAACATTCGCTCCTTAGGGACTTGGTTATTTCTTCCCGATTTCATAATGTTTATCTTCACTAATATTTCATAATGAAAATCCTTGACTTGCCTTTGACACATGTCCTGTCTTGGATATCATATCATGCATGTCAACTTCAAATTTGCCTCCAATAGTTCAGTAAGTTCAATGACAATTAAATCAAGGTCCGTCACTCATCTAGTTCACTTCAACTCGACATGTCGCAGCGACAATGGCTGCTTAATAAGATGTAATCCATATTCTACCCCCTTTTGGGAATAACATTTCAACTTGTTTGTAACGTATTTTACTTAAATGTCGTTAGTTTCAAACTGGACAAAAGATATTTTTATGGACGAATTTCTCTGTTAACCCGACGAGTAAGTAACCTCACTTTTATCAATTTCCATATTCATATTTAATAATTTCAAATTCCGATTTTATTATAATGTCCCTTTCAAATCAGAAGTTCATTAAAAAAGTAGCAAGTCACCAATTTAATTTTTAATTTTTTACTTTTCCAATATTAAACAAATTTCCAGATAGATTTTTTCAAAAAAATTTCTCAAAATTAATTTTTCAAGAAATTTTTTCGGAAAATTTGTTCAGAATTTTCAATTACAATTTCTTTCCAATAGCTGAAAGCAGATTACTCACTTACAGGTACGCACTGATGATGACTTAACAGTCGGAAGCGCTCTGCTACGAATATTTTGAATAAATTTCTTGCACGAAATTCAAATCTTTCCTTCTTTGGTATATATTCACGTGCTTACAGCCCAGTAACCCTCACTCATTTTGCGACGTTTCCATATGGCCCTGTATGTTTAATTTTATGAATTTTTCTCCAGAGTACTAAATTTTATGGTAATATGAGTAGGTGTGTGGATTTATTTCCCCAAATCAATTGAGAATGGCCATTTTTATGAACTATCCCGAGTGTTTTATTTTTCGAAGTGTATGTTGATTCATTCTCGATATGTAGCCTGAAATATATGATTTTTTCACAGTTTCTGGTTTTGAGTATTTTTTTTTTCATCATACTAGAATAAATTCATTCAGTGTCTCCTTCTTTACGTCATTCTGTATATCAAATTTTGCGCGTATGATACATTGAAAATCTATATGTTCGTATCTCGCATAGTTGAACTATTCCTTTGAAATTTTGACACACTCTAATCACTCATTGATGAGCAATAATATGGTCAGGTAAACTCACACCCAACATTTATTTTATATAAAATGTCCCTGTATTCTACGTTTCATTATTACACTATCTTACCCTAGTTCCTCCTTCAAGTTTTATGAATAGGTGGATGAAAGTTGTGAATATTATACTTGATCATGACTCACGAGAATTGTTATGCTGATTTTGAATAGCAGATTCGAATACCGTAGATATTTTGATGCTATTTTTAGTAATTCTCAGTGATGTTGCATGTGCTAATTCAGGAAATGTTCATTATTCTTATACCAGAAAAATAGAATATTTTACCGTTGAGTTCCAATTATCAGTGCTACTCCAAAAGTAGTACGTGGAGTTAGAGTAACTACACAGAACTCATAGATGATGAGTAGTTTTGAGAATTAGAGAAGGAGGTGTCTCGAAATAGAGAATGTCCTCTTCAGTATTATAGTTCGCAGCTGTATAGCCCCCATAGCCTAACCTAACTTTTTTTCACAACATCCTTCGATTTCAGAAGATGCTGGTGAAATATCGAACATTATTTCGGAACACTTAGTATACAATATATGTCATTATAATACTCTAATGGTAACAGTATTCGAATACAAGATGTTTCTGCGATAAAATATGGGGCCAAAATACCCCAAGTGATATAATTGAATGTGCAATTTAATGAAAATTGAAAAATTGAAATGTGTCTCTTCACCCCTTTGTGGCTAATTTCACTCACCTGTGAGTTATGAGTCTGTGAAAGTCTCTTACGAGAATGGTGTGAAAGTCCAAAGAGAATAGTATAGCAAGTAATGTAACTGAAATACCATGAACAAATCAGTGATTCACAATATTATTATACGAATTCATAAGTGTCACTCACCAATAATGTTCTCACAGTTTCACTATACAGTTCACTAGATGTTGAAACATAATCAAATTGCTGTTTTTATACCATCCTTGGATGATTAATCAACGATATTTCGAAAAAATATCTACACATGTATATAGGATATTCAAATGTCAGCATCATTATTCAATGAAGGTATTACTGAAAAAATAATTGATGATTGCGAACATATCATGAGCAAAACACGATAACACTTTTGAGTGACCTACTGGTCAGCTGATTGTATAGGGTAATTCAATATGACTAATTTTTATAAAAGATTGAAATAACCGTATTCATCAATGGATAATAAAAATCCGGTTATTTAACTAAGTATGACATCTAAACATCACTAACCTCTAGCGTTCATAACTTTCTAGCACCCTTAACCTATACAAAGGGTAGTCTACCTGCCAGGTACCGAATTGGTTATGCTCTTGGTGAGCATCGGGAGTATTAACAACGGTATACGTAGCCGCCGCCTATCAAATGTCATGAGTTTTCTGTCGATTGTTCAGCGAGCATCAGATGGTTACGTGGTATACATCGTATGTCATATATCAAATGTATTACGTTAGCTGTCATTTGCTAACTGTCGTATTCCAAATGTTATAGCAGTCTCTGAGCTAGACAAAAAGTGAGGTGGCCTACCCGCGAGTCACCCAATATCTACAACTCAAACATCACCCTGTATATTGAAAGGAATCAGCAGCTAGTGCGTCATAAGTTGCCTATCTGTTTTGACGGGTCCATCTGAACATACTGCATATTGAATGAGATCATCAGCTAGCGGGGTAACCAGCTCGCAAATCGCCTGGTCACATGGCAGTGATCCTGACAACATCCATCTGTTGAATGTCATATGTCATACGTTAGCTATCTGTTTGCTGAGCCTACTTGAAGTGTGGTGGTCTACTCTTGAGTTGCCATATATATTGACTGATTAGCCGTCAAAGCCACTGAACCTTTAAAAATCCTTATAACTATGGTGTGGCCAGTTGAGTGTTAGAAGGCCCGGTTAAAAGTCATCGATAGGAACAGCAAAAAGTCAACTTGATATCCATGATTTTAATTAATTCACTGATTATTCGCAGAAAAGCCAATAGAGGGCCAATATTTAAATGGCGTCTATTAATTTTCATCAGTGATGTGTTCGATAGTTTTCGTTGATGACTGTGACGGATCTTTATCTCAGGGCGCAGTGTTGGAGTTCTGACTGTCTCGGATTCAGTGCCCAAGAAATGAAAACTCAGAGATTTGAAGTGATGCAGACTAGCCTTATTTATTTTCAGAATAAATCTGAAATTTGACCTAGTATCAGTACCTGGGTATAATATTTGTCTTATACTAAATGACTGAATAATAACATTTGAAACGAATTGAAAATCATAGTTACTGTCAATTCTTCCACATGGTGAACAGATATTCCTTTTTTCGTAATATAATGAGCATATACGATATTTCACCTACCTGAAATTTGACCAGGCGACAACACAAAGAATTTTGGTGTTGAACAAACCCAAAAGGTTCAAAAACCATCACTTATTGCGAAAATGTACTATTAGAGGGGAGGATTTTTCAATCTTTGGGCTGTTTAGGTCTCATAAACAAATACTTTGAGTTGACGATCGAGCGGAGGGCCTTGTAGGTATTCTCCTTAGGAGAGTATCTGTGTTTCGTTTCCACTCACTTCATAATTTTATTTTTAATATATTTTGTTTATAATTCAATTGGGTATTTGGTATTAGTCTAAAAAAAATCTCTTTCTATTCTTTTCAATATAAGTTAAATTACAATTACATTAAATTAAATTAAATACAATTTTGGCGCGTTATTCTGCTGTGATTTTCCACAATCTCGTGGATTCAAATCACGGAAGAGACGACGCGAGTTTTTGGTGCGTACCTGCGTACCTCCCATGGTACGATTCGGTGACAGCGAGTACAGTCGAAAAATATACGTTGATGGTACCACTGTGGTGTTGTGCACAATCTCGACCGGCTCAAGAATTCTCGATCTCGCTCAGAAACATTTTGATCGACCACTCTCTCGATCTACATCAATCTTTACTAAAGGTTAGTGGTTATATCACAGTCGTTTTTCTCATGTACTAACGATTTTGTTTATGAGATATACACATATTCACAGAATGCAAAACATAGTGAATAATAAATACAGTCCATTGATTCGTAGAAGATAAACATTCCTGGTCCTTCTCGACAAATTCTTTCAATATTTTGAACAGCTAATTACTATTTTTTGCAAATCAGTGAATTTGTGAAGAAAGAGATTTTTGGAGATTTCATATCTATTGAATTCAATTATTCAGATAGATTTCAAGCAAATCGTCAAAGACGTATAATAATTATCGTTTTTCAACTGTTGTCAGTCCCAGTTCTTTTTGCTCGTTGTTTTTGCTTCCGCTCGGCGTGGGTCAACTTCTCTTGCCCCTCTTTTGATTTATTCTCGATTATCGATGGGTCGATAGCGATAAAATAATCTGATTATTCATACAGGGTTTCACTTATTTCCAATTTCCTTTACCCGTCGCAATTTACGAATCTCATTTTCGGATATAATAAATAAAATATCACGCTTTTGTCACGTTTTGTTGACCTTGTCACAATGAGTACTACCGCAAATAAATTGAAGCAATTGAAAGCTCTTCGAGCAGTCGCAATTGAAAGAATGATAGATATGAAATTTATAGCAAAAAGTGCAAAAGTTAATCAAAATTTTACTCTGCAATTCAAAGCACGTGTTACTCAGTTGGAGACACTTCATCACGAATTCAATACTCATCATAGTTCGTTGATTGCACTCGCTTCTACTATTGAAGATTATAATATGACAGAAAAAGATGCCACTCGTAAAGATTTCGATGAAAATTATTTCGCTGTCATCTCTATTCAATATGAATTATTTGATAATTCTGGAAATAATTATGATAATCAAAATGTTCTAGTTGACTTTAAGAGCCACGTAAATTTACCTCAAATCGAGCTTGTGAAATTCGATGATGATCCAAAAAAATGGAGAACCTTTATTGATACTTTCGATGCCCTAGTACACAACTCATCGCTGGAAAATATTGAAAAATTCAACTATTCAATCTCAACTCTGACAGGCCCCCCTCTTGCAATAGTCAAACGCAATCGCTTGAGTGATGCTACCTATGTGATCGCTTACGATAGCCTCAAATCACGCTTTGAAGATAGACGTGCAATGGCTACAGCTCATTATCTAGAACTTGAAAAGGCTGTGAAAATTCCCGACTCTAATGCCACTTCTCAGGGATTGAGGCACCTTTTGGATATTCATGAAGAGAACTTGGCTGCTTTGAACAATATAAAGTTTCCCACATCTGAATGGGATTTAATAATTCTCAATATGCTCTTAAATCGATTAGATTCGCACACTATCTCGAGATTCGAGATAGAACACAGTTCTATTGAGATACCAAAACTAGAGAATTTAACTGCATTTGTTCGGAAACAATGCAATGCTCTAGATAGGGCAGCTGAAATCACTCATAATAAAACACTTGATAAGCCTGATAGTTTCAGAAATCGAAATTATTCAACAAAGCCTTCTTCAAATCAACGCCCCAACTCTTCATTTTTCACACAAACCCAAGGTCCTATTACATATCCCTTTCGCAAAAGAGATCATCTGATTCATAGATGCCCGAAATTCTTAGCCCTCTCTGCCCAAGAACGATTTAATGCCGCAAAAACTAATAGGTGGTGTATCAATTGTCTTGGTAACAAACATTCATTGAAATATTGTTCTTCCCTATCTCGATGCGTCAAATGCCATAAAAATCACCACACTCATCTTCATTTCGAACAAGCAGCAATGTTGAGTAATAATACCTCTCCCTCTCACTCTAATGTTCATGACGATAATTCTAATATCACTCCACAAAATGCAACGACACTCACAAGCATGCTTCCAGACCAATCTACGGTTCTTCTTGCCACAGCCGTAGTGGAGGTTTTCGATCCCCTAAATCAAGTGCAAACCGTACGAATTTTGCTTGATTCAGGAAGTCAGGCAGATTTCATAACAGAAAAGTGCTGCAATCGTTTAAGTTTACGTCAAAAACTCATATCTCTTTCTATAGTAGGATTGGGACACATGAATTCTAAAGCTTTCAAGAGCGTTTCTCTAACTTGTCGCTCCTGTAAGCTCTCTGAACCAACGTTTTCGATAGATGCGGTTATTCTCTCTCAAATTTGTAATGATATGCCTCAATTTACAATTCCTCACGATTCTTGGACGCATATTTCTCAATTAAATCTAGCTGACCCCAGGTTTCACACTCCTGGTCCTATAGATCTCTTATTAGGACCTGACTTTTTTCCTCTTATACTTGGTCCGGGACGTCTAGTTGGAAATGACGATGAACCTGTGGCGATAGAAACAGTTCTTGGTTGGATACTTATGGGCCTTGTCAATATCCCTCTCGCCTCTATCCCTAGCATCTCATTTTTTTGCAATTGTGATGTCTCATTAGAAAAATCTCTAACTCGATTTTGGGATTTAGAAAATATCCCGAAAATCATTTCCTTGAGCTCGGACGAACAACTATGTGAGTCTTTATATATTCAAAATGTCTCTAGGACAATCTCTGGTCGATTTACAGTCGCCCTACCT